CATTTCCAAAGCCATAATTAGTCTGTGTCCGCTCTCTCTCTCTCCTCAGCCAGCTGACAAAACAAAAAAAACCCTCAGTAAAAAGAGGAAAATGGCAACCAAAAATAACACATCTTCTTGTGATCATTAAAATGAGGAAGTTGAGGAACAGCTGCTTACAACAAAATAAACACATTAACACCGATGCTCGGCAGCGTGCAATCACAGAGGCCCGAAGAGACAGCTGTCCGCCTTTAATTACAATTACGTCCATTTCTTTTTCACTCTTTTTCAGCAGTTTTACAACTTCCCACTTCTTTGTCTGCATTCAGATCTATTTGCATTATGTTTATCTGTGTTTTGATAAGGTTACCTCAACATACTGTAAATATTAAAACGTTTGCTTTATCAGAATTTACACATTGCATCATCTGCTCAGTATAGGTCAATTCAAGCAAACAGCTCCAGATTAAATGTATGGTGGGACATTTTTGGAAACGTTTTCTTTCTTGACAAGAGTTAGATACGACCTAATCAACCATTTGATTCTGTTCAAACAAGTTCCACCTACCTGTACCTGACAATCGTACTTACTGAAATCTTTTCTCTTTTATATTTAATCTTGAAATGAAGGTGCTAAATTGTAGTTTAAAAAGGGATTATTATGTCAGAGACATTTTCTTGGCTGAGGACGATGTACTTTATTCTTGTGGGACACGTTCATCACAGTTTCTAAAGCTGAAAAATTAGGTCTTCAGGAGTTTACTTGTGTCCTACCAAATGTCTGAATCAGAGCCCGACTGATTGATCAGCCAGCCAATAATATCTGATATATCGCAATGCAAAAGATCGGACCTATATCTGATTTAGGACCTCATTTTAAACTGTCTCAAATCTGAATTTAACTTAATGATGATGGTCTCTATATCACTGATGATGATGATGGTAATGACGATGGTTTCTGTTTGATAACGATGACTTATAAGATGGTTTCTATACTGATTAGAGCTCTCAAGAACTGCCCTCAATGTTGTGCTTTGCCTCTGGTCACTTCCTGTCAGCACCTGTGTGTCCAATCAGACTCAAAGCTGATCGTTTGCTCTTACTGACATTGTTCCCTTTTTTCTAGATCCTTGCTTGTGTTGCACTTACTCTCTGATGTACGTCGCTTTGGATAAAAGCGTCTGCTAAGAGAATTGTAGAATTTAGCACAGAAAAGGTCGAGCGGAACAGGAAGTCAGACACCAAAACAACATTAAAAGATCCGGTTTAGTTTTTTTAACACCTTGTTTGGACAGTTCAGAATAATTACCGTATGTGCGTTTGTTTTTGTGTTTTAAGTGGTTTTTATACCACATGCATCGTATTATCTTGTGCTGTCGCGAGTAAATCTGTGCGGGAATTCCTTTGTCTCTACGCTCCAGCTTTCCGGCTGTGCTGAACGGACGAGGGTGCACAGAGCCGTAACGGACCGGAGACAAGCAACGCACACGTATCTGGTGGAAGTTCTGGGTGAGACTTTTGGTGACACCCCAGGGGGGCATGGACACCAAGTTGGGAATCAATGACATAAAGTATCCTATATTGGTTAAGTCCACCTTAAAACTGAAATGTTGAAAACTGAAAAGCTGATATTATTTTATGAGGGTCTTTAAGACAGTGTCTATATTGAAACCTACAGTGCATTATACTGACAGGTCTGCTTACCAACTACGGTTGCCCAATCATTTGCAATTTTATTGCTATGGTGAGATGAGCCTTTAGCAAGTGTAGGCTACATGACACCTGTTGGATGGAGGCCTGACTATAACGGCCAGCACCACGCACTACGTTGTACTTAGCTGCCACTCTAGTCAATCATTGTGTTCACACAGGGCGCCACTACGCTCTGCTCCGTTTCAAATGCGCAGCGAGTCTATTTTCGCCGGAGTGCGCTGCAGGCACGCGTCAAACTAGACAGAATATGACAGCCGGACAGGAAGTCAGACTAGGAAACGTACAGAGCATCCGGTCAATTTCAAAGTAAAACACAATATACAGACGATCGTATTTTTCATCACTTTATCAAAATTACACTGCATCCTCAGAAAGACAAAGCAACATGTTGTTTGCATGTTCTTCTCTTTATTCCCGCGGGATCTTGTAGTTCTCCTGTGATGTGTCATGGGTGCGCTGACGTCCCAGAAACGGATCCAGTGTGAATGGGCGCGAGCCGTCCGACGGAGCAAAACCGCGGCGCGTACGGAGTATGTGTGAATTGGATGTAACGCCTACTCTCAGATCAATTACTTTGTATTTAGTGGTGGAAAAAAATATTTCCCAGAAACTGGGAGTTATAGCTATGCATTCTTTAGTTTTTGTTTCATATCGTTATCTCAATATTGATCAATTATATCTCATATCATGCAGGCCTATGTGCTAACACAGGAAAAGCCGATTTTTAAGTTTTGATAAGTTTCCCTGCAGCTTCCAGCTTCTTGCTCCTGATGAGAACACAGCCAGACGATGAACAGAGAGAATGACAAATGAGGAGGAGGCCTGTGTATTACAGGAATGATGCTTAATTACATACAAAGCTGCCATTTAGATTCCATTGTCCTGCCTGAATGTTGGCAGACCGCAGCGCAATGTGTTGACTGCATCCTTCCTTCCACCCCCCCCACACCATTTTAAAGGGCCACACTAAACAACCAATCTGAGCCCTTTATAATTTCCCCTCAGTAATCAAGTCTGAAGTTTTTTTTTCTTTCTGTGGCGAAGCTTTAATCAAACATCTCATTGCCTCCACCAGCCAGAATCGTGTGATTTTGACAGAAACACAAAAAAGCATGCAATTACTCTCGCAGGACCTGTTCCCTCCTCTCCGCTACAGCTGCAGAAAAGAGGGCACTATTCCAAACACGTCCTCCTTCTCCTCCTCCTTTGTCTTTCCTTTTCTTTTCTTCTGTGTACGGAAATAAGAGCATCCCGCCCAAACCATAATAACAGGAGACGTAAAGCTGTAATGTATACTATGAGAAAACAACGTGAGCAATATTTATGAAACAAAATGAGCGTTTATCATACGAGTGCATGATTTATTTGAGGATTGCATGTGAAGTTACCAACCTGATATCACTTAAAAATACATTTCATTTGGCATTTAATTTAGTTTCAGAGAGAATTAAATAAGTAACCGCAAAAATAGTGCCTTTAAACATTTCCAGAAAATGTTTTATAATATGGTTCAGTACATGGTGTAGAGAGAGGAGGGGTTAAATATTTGCAACTTCAAAATCAAAATCTCTATCCACCACTTATGTTTAAGACTATTTCCTAAAATGCGTCCTCATTAATATCAACATCAAAAACTGTGGGGAGACATAGAAAATAACCTGACAGAAAAACAACAAGACAGACGAGGCATTACAATCGCCTTCATGTGTGTTTAGTGTCTGAGAAGAAACACTTATAAGCCTGTCAGTCACTATACACTCATCCTTTCAAGTATAGTGTGAAATATTGTTGATTTTCCTGCAAAAGCTGAACCTATCTCCCCACCATCATGTGGTTGTTCCTTGAATGGATGATTGTCAAAATATATTGATTGCTTTAGAAAACAAAATTGCAGTTTTCACTCCATTACTTTCGTCACTGAACGTTCAGATTAATAAACTCCATTATTAAACTTTTATTTCACCACGGATTCCACTGTATACCAAGCTTGTAAAATATAGGTTTAAATTAGCTTCATCCATAACCTGCCAAATGATGCTTTCACATTACTTAGTATTTATTTCTTATCTTAACTCCTCTTATGTTTTAACTTGGTGATTTCTTATCTTACTTTGTCTATTTATGTTTATATTTACTTTTTATTTTTATTAATATTATAGTTTTTTTTTTAATCCTTTAACCACTTGTTTCTATTTCTTTTTCTGCTCTTACCTTCTTATTGCTGTTGTCTTTTGATTTGCTTTCAGCTCTTTTAGTTTCTTACATCTTTTTAAATCTTTGGTTCCTCTTGGTCTCAGCTCGTGTTGTTGGGTTCTTGTGTTTCCTGGGTTCTTGTGATGGTTCTTGTGATGGTTCTTGTGTTTCCTGGGTTCTTATGATGGTCAGGTTATATATGTCTGTTGGGTATCGTGCACTTTGGGTTCTTTTCTGTTGAATTGTATTTAATTATTTTTAGTATTTTGCATTTGTTATGTTCTTGCTGTTGTTTATGTTCTTCTGTGTTTGGTTTAGTTTGCTTTGTTCTTGTTGTCAAAGCACTTTGTAAACCTGTGTTTTTAAAAGGTGCTATATAAATAAAGTTATTATTATTATTATTATTATTAGTTTTGCCAACGAGCATATCAAATGCATTAGCCTATATTATCTTGAAAATGTGCCACTCTTCACCGAGACTACTTAAAAACTGTAGTTCTTTTTTTACCTCTTGCTATTTACTTACATTAAACTTCTTCTACCTCTGCTCATCATAAAGTAGGCTATCTTTAATTTTGATGTATGCTTATCTTGTGATGGTCGGGTTCTATATGTCTGTTGGGTATCGTGCACTTTGGGTTCTTTTCTGTTGAATTGTATTTAATTATTTTTAGTATTTTACATTTGTTATGTTCTTGCTGTTGTTTATGTTCTTCTGTTTGGTTTAGTTTGTTCTTGTTTTTGCTGTTTGTCAAAGCACTTTGTAAACCTGTGTTTTTAAAAGGTACTATATAAATAAAGTTATTATTATTATTATTATTAGTTTTGCCAACGAGCATATCAAATGCATTAGCCTATATTATCTTGAAAAAGTGCTACTCTTCACCGAGACTACTTCAAACTAAGTTTTTTAAACTTCTTCTACCTCTGCTCATCCTAAAGTAGGCGATCTTTCATTTTTATGAATGCTTATAAAGCCTATATACGTTTGGATATAGGCAAACTCCTCATAAATATATCTGACCTGACGTGTGTTTTAATAATACACTGTAAATATGACGGTTTTAATCTGTGAGTAAATGCCATGTGTAAAAATTTGTTTTCGACGAGCTGCATTTGAACACACCGCCAGCTTGCTCCCTCAGCGGTAGATTTGGATTGGACCGGCTAACCGTTAGCAGAAAAATGGGAGACGACTTGGGTGACGAGTGGTGGGACCACGAGGGTAATTCAGGTACCTCTTTGTTTCTTTAAGTGTTTCTTTGACTTGTTTTCGGGACGTCGTCTTGTATCCTGAACAGCGAACTGTCTGTGAGCACGTCGATAGAAACGCCGGTTGGTTGGTAGCTAACTGATAGCTACCGTTAGCTTAGCCACCGTGAGTTTAATGTTAAAGTTTAACTTCCGCCTGTAAACAGTCATCGACAGTTCACATGGTGACAAGTGGTTAGCACACAGTACCCGTTTCTTTACAGCTTACCTCTGTTCTGTCATGGCAGGGGAAGCTAGGGTTGGTAGCAAGGCTTGTTATGTGTTAACACGTGTGTGTGTGTCAGAGAGCATGTTTACATGTGGTTCACACACACACACACACACACACACACACACACAACATTAACTGTGGTAACTTTCAACGTGTTCCGCCTGTATCTATAATTGAAGCTTAGTTGTCTGTCTCTGTCAGGTTTAACTCTGTGTATTCACTGTGCTGCTCCTCTTCATCACTCACACACTGAAGAAGTTTGTTTCTTTGCCTGGTTTTGGTTTTATGCACTCTGAGCACCAATAGAGGGCAGTGATGCTCTTTAAGGATTGTTGACCTCAATTATTCATCCAGCAAAGTTTTGATGCAGAATAACATTGCAACATGTATTTTAGAAAATATTCAATTCAGTTCAGAATACTTTATTTGTCCCCCTGGGGGGCCAATTCAAACCCACACAGAGCAGTAAATTAACAACAGTGCAAGTAGATGAAACATTTTAAACCTAAATATAAAGTGTGAATTTAAATACAACTTAAAGCTTAAACTTAAAAAAAACAAAATATAAAAGAGTAGATATAAGTGGACAGTGATCGGACTAACAGATGTAAACAGATGTAACCAGAACTATGTGCAGTAAACGAGAAATAAATATATATATACAGAGCTATGTGTAAGTAGGGTAAATACTAAATGATAAGTTAATAAGGTGAATAATGGAACAACAGAACTAATATCTACAATATAACTGTAAAAGTAAAAATTAGATAAATAAAGTGACCGTAGTGCAATGATGGATAAGAAACATCAGAATACTGATATATAAAGGATAGAATAAAGTGATGTAGTGCAGGAGAGCAGATAAAGCAGAGGCTGTTCAGGTGCACGGCAAATGGAAGGAAGTAAAAACAGCAAAGTTCACAGCTGAGAGTCTGCGTTGGGTGAGAGGTGTTTATATTTAAATGAAACACTTCATATTTAGTGGCACACTTTGACACACAATCTCCCTCGATGTGTTCATCCTCAGTCTCTTATTTTGTGCAATAATAATGTTATATTATATTTACCAAATCCACTTTGTGCAATAACGTGTTATACTTTATGTCTGTGTTACACAGAATATTCTGACTACATTTTTGTCAAAACTGCAGCTCAGCTGATCTATTTTTCTATTTATCATTTTTTTTAGATCTATTTTTAGTATCTCTCTTTTTTTATACATTCTTCATTTTTATTTTTTTATTTAAATTGTACTGTGTTCACTTTCTGTTTGCAATCTTTGCTCTTTGCTGCTGTAACACTGTAAAGTTCCCCGTTGTGGGATAAATAAAGGATTATCTTATCTTATCTACACAAACACACAGGCAGTATCCAAAAGACCCAGTAAGAAACAAATTGAACCATTCTGGCAGGTTATCTGAATGTTTAATAATAGAATATATTTACTAATAAATGGCATTTACACTTACCTCCTAACTGTAATGTGTAATCCTAATGATAATGTGTAAACAGAAAAACTCATTTGTAACACATGCCCTTTGATGTTGTCAAATCATATTTACTTCTGCTTCACTTTTGCTTCATTTTATTCAACTCATTTATTAATTATAGTCATATTTGTGTTGCCAAAGTGTCCTCCTAAAATTACAAACATATCTTCATTCATTCACAACTGCAAAGATGTATGCTGTATTTTGCATATTTTGTTGATGAGATTATTTGGTAACATTAGACACTGCATGTTTTGTTGATGAGATTATTTGGTAACATTAGACATTGCATGTTTTGTTGATGAGATTATTTGGTAACATTAGACATTGCATGTTTTGTTGATGAGATTATTTGGTAACATTAGACTGCAGTGATAAATGTCTTGTAATCCTGGTCTGTTGGGTGCTCTCTTCTATGCACCAAGGGGGCTCTGTCTCCTATTCTATTAGCTAATCCTTTAGCCTTGGGTGTCCTTGTTGGGTAAGGCTTCTTCAGCAACCCCCAGAGGAATCTGATTAGAGAAAAGAGGAATAACCAGCTGTTAAAATGTGTATACCACTGTGGATTTATAAACCTGTTTGTTGAGTGGTTGTTGTTTGTGGAAAGATGTCATACGTATGGATTTCACCACTGGTCTTCTTTTGCGACATCATTGCAATGTTATTCACTTTACAACAGCGGTGCACATGAGGGGTACTTTCCTAAATGGATGTTAGATGATGTTAGATGATCCATGATCCTAGATGGAGAGCCCCAACCCTTGGGTCAAGTGGATATGTTGTTTTCCATACAAGCACAGGGAGCTAACAGACACGTGCTAGTCAGCATTACTCAGTTTGGTGTTGTACAAAACAATAAGGAAGGCTTTTATTTCTACTGAACAGTTATGATAGCCACAAATGTACACCTTAATGCTAGCGTGGTTGAATGCAATTATTATTATTATTATTTTTAACTTTGTATACTTTATTAATCCCTGAGGGAAATTCTGGTTTACACTCTTGTTATTTTAAAGACGTGCTTTTCACACACACAGTCTGAATTACATGCACAAACAGGACCTGTAGACATGCATTCATGGAGAGATGTCAGAGTGGGGCTGCTACACACTGCTATGCAGGGAGCGCACCAGAGCAGTTTGGGGTTCAGTGCCTTGCTCAATGGCACCTCGGCAGTATTCAGGAGGTGCCCTGGCTCCTCTCTAGCTACCAGACCAGCTTCCATTTTTTGGTCCGTATTGCTAACTAAAATGTGTGATGTTTTTACCAGAAATATGGACTAATTTGCTTTTTGATTACCTGTCAAGTCTATGATAATTCTGAAGCTGTAAAATTATAAGAATTTGACGGATTGTTGTGTTTATGAAAATTTCAACCAGGAACACAGCATTGCAGTTTATGACATCACTTGGTCTATGGCGCATTTTCAGAAGAATTTCCACTTTATGCATGTTTTGACACTTTGACACCCTTATTTGGAGAGTTTGGCTCTTTTGGAGAAATCATATTCAAGCAACCCATTCAGTTCTCCATCTAAAAGAAAGGGTGTGCAACGCTGTATTTCTAGGTTGTCCCTTTACCCTGACTGACTGACATCACATCCTTACTCCCATTTGTATCAAAGAGATATGCTTGACAGAAAACGCTGTGAGGCTGACTGAAAACTGACAAGACAGAAAAGAGGAGTTGAAGTCAGTGAGCTTATGGAGCATATGACTCTGAAGTCAGTCTTAGAAATGAAGAGGGGATTCGTGAGAAGCGGTTTGACGCTCAATGACATGATGTCATTTGGCGCTGTGCTCACACTGATGACAAAGATTCTCATGAGGACTGTGTCACACTACAGTCTGCCATAAACAGTCATCAAATATCACATCTGGTTTCCACCTTGCCAACTGATGATGTCATTGTAGTTAATGCATGTCTGTGTTTGTCATCATTTACCTGCAGTGTGGGGTCTCTACCTGCGTCTTCCACTACAGGAAGTCTTACTTTGTCCTCCAGTGCTGTCAGCTACTTTCTGATTTACCTGGGACATTTTATCACCACTTTTTCTACTACATATAATATATGACATCTAACGGGAATTACTGCATCGTACATTATGTTGTCTTTATTGACCTTTTAGATAAGGGGATCTTAAACTGCTTGTGTTGACATAAAACTCCAATGTTGTCTTTTAGGTTTGATGCTTGTTGCTAATTCATGTGAATGATTTGGCGAACTCCAAATACAGATAACAGTTATTGTAAAGTCAAGTGAGTTTAGGACAAAATTCAAAACAAATAGTTGACCGGAGAGTGCTTAAACAGAGAGATGACGTTATTTTGTTGGTGATTGCAATAAGACACAAACACATTTATACACAAGAGATTACAAATATATATATTTATAGAGCTAAAAAAAATTTGTTATGTATCTTTAGATTTATATTATCAACAACATTGCTTTCTGTGGTGATACATCCATCCACACACTGCTTAAGAAAACCCTTTGCCTCATGTGTGAGGAAACACAAAGACGATACGTTTCTCCAGAACAAATTCACTTCACTTTGTTCATCAGTGTTTTCATCTTTCTCTCATCGTTTGCTGCTTTATAAATAGCTGTTGAAACTTCAGTTGTAAGGTATTTTACCTGCTTTTTGTAACATAACAATAAGTAAGGTCTTTTACCTGCTTTTTGTAAAGTGTCTTGAGATAACACTTGTTATGAGTTGACGCTATACAAAATAAATTGAATTGAATTGAATTGTAAAAACAAAATGTACGAGGAGAGGAAATACCAAGCAGTTCAACATGACTTTTTAGTGACTTAACATGTGTATTATTATTATTATTATTATTATTATTATAGTTATAACCTGTTGTAATATGTTGCTATAAGAAACTGTGTCTTTTATCTCTTCATTAATTATTTTCTCATCCAGTCACTGCACAATAATAACTGTATATACTCTTTCACTGCACTATAACTTCACTTATTTGCACTATATCTCTCTATATATATTTGTTTACCTAATCAGTCACTGCAAAATAATAACTGTATATATTCTTTCAGTCACCACAACTGTCTATTTATTTATTATTATTATCATTTATTCACTGAACAGCAATTGCTCTGGCCCCTTTTTGCATATTTCTCTTTCATATCACCACAAATATCTTTTTGTTTTAGTAAACGCTGCTGTATAGAATTGCTGCTAACAAAGTTTTGTTGTGTCCTTGTATACAATGATAATAAAGATTCTATCTCTTCATTAAGGGGTTAAGCTTGCATGGGATTATGTGCTCATAACAAGACGAGACTGACCAGCAATGAAAAGCCTTTTTGTGCTTGGATTATTTTATTTTTATTTTACAGTAAATGAGGAGAAGCTGAGCATAATTTCAATGTTTTTATGCAGTAGTTAAAGTGTATTCATCCATTAGTTGCCAGTGGTAAATATATTAGGACCATGATTCCATTCCATTTGAGGTTTATAGTCTGTACTCAAAATAGCTAAGGCTTTAAGTAATTCAACCATCATTAAACCCGAACAGCCCCATCACCTCTAGGTGTTTTTATTGTGTCAGAAAAAATGAGCCGAGTTTTCCAGTGCATATTAGGCGACGGTTGCACACCTATAAACACACACACACACACACACACACACACACACACACACACACACACACACACACACACACACTGTTGTGTTAAATTTGGCTGTGTGGGTGATCAAGCTAAACACACAAACCTCTTCCATCCCGGTTTCTCTTTATTCATTTTAACAATATGGCTAATGAACACAGGAGTCTTTTTTTTCTTCTTCTTCTTTTTGGAGAGCTTGATGTGTGCAGTGTGTAGTTTGACCCTTGAGGGGAAAAAAAAAAAAACATCAAACAAGGCTTCTACCAGTTTCTCACTTTATCTTTACTGATTCCAACTATTTTGCATTTAAACCGCCTCGAAATCTGTTAGCTGAGTAGATGGCAGCCCTCTCTCGAAAGTATTCAAGGTGAGCAAACAAAATCAACACAAACACTTTTAATGAACAGGGAAAAAACATCAATAAAACAGAATGAAAATATGAAAAGCATATTACACATTTGGTGGCAATGACGTATTACCTAGCTCTAATACAGGTGCTTAAAACACATGTCAAACAGTCAGTTAAATTCAGTAAGTACATTTGCACACTAACTAATTAAAGTAGGCTTTACAAATAGTATGACAAACACTGGGAATTATTTGTTTAGTAATATTTACAAAGACAATAGGTTCTCCTTGAAGTAATGGTGTCCAGGAAAGTGTCTGAGAACCCAATCATATACATCTTCCCCTAATCACAAAGGCCACTTACTGTAATATTAGAGGAGTGTGAAGCTGAGGAGGTAGAAGGGGAAATAGTGATGCTACTTGTAATTTTGCCAACACCTTTTACATGACAGCCATTGGCGAGCACTTGTGTCTGTTGCTCATGACGGAGATAGTACGACCCGACTGGTTGTGGCACACTGTGGGTCATACCACTCACAGACTGGATATATGGACTCCCCACATGGATGTGGATCTTGTTGTCCTCTGTGGTGATGATATTTGGACTCGTGTCGACACTGCTGGACCTCTGATACTGCCAGCTGTTCTGACGCTCAGGTGTCTTGCAGTAGACGGTGGTCTGATTGGCGACCTCCTCCGGCTCTGGAGAACAGGTCCGGACTGTCACGATCTGAATCGGGGAGCTGTTTTGGTCGGGGGTCGCAGAGCGTGGAGAATTTGTGCTCAGCATCCGAGAGATTGTTGGGGAGACTCTGCGGTCTGGGCTTGAAGGCGGGGTCTTAGTGTTAACTGCGAGAGGAGAGGCGTTCTGGATGATGGTGATTCTCTGCTTAGGCGAGGCTCCGCTTGTCGGGATGACGGCAGTGCTGGTGTAGGACGTAGCTGCATCTCCTGTCGGGCTGCTGAACTCAAGCGTGGCTGTGTTGAGGATGTGGTGAGGTGTTACTTTAATGTGCAAGGGCTGCCCTGGCGTGTGTGTCAACGTCATCAGCTCACCATTAGCAGTTTGGTGCATATCCATGCCATTGGCTGATTGATTGCTGTATTGGATAATGTTATTATTTGCAGTGTTTAGGCTGTTGAGGTTGTTGACAAGAGAGCTTCTTCTGTTTGAGACCTCCTCATTGTGGTTTAGGTCCTCCTCCTGCTTTTCTTCTTCTGCTCTCTTGCTTTGATCGCCGTAAGGAGGCAGGCTATCTGCTGGATCAGTTTGCACCTCTTTGGTGGTCTGATGAAGGTCGGAAAAGTGTTGTCCATTCGCACCAGGTGAAAGGTTCTTCTTTTGTCTGTACCTGTCGAGCTCACTACTGAGTTCCTTCATGTCTTTTGCCAGCTCCCTGTTTCTTCCTTCCTGCAAGGTCAGCTTTCTCTGCAGCGTGGAGTGGTCGGTCTGAACCCTGCAGATTGACTCCTCGGTTCCCATCAGCTTCTGGAGTTTCTCCTTCAGAGAGTCCACCTCCCTGCCCAAAAGTCTAGACCTCACCTGCTCCTTCTGAAGACGGCAAAGGAGGAGGTGCTCCTGGTTGACGTCTTGCTTCTCCGCCTGCTCGTATCTCGAAAGCTCCCTCTTTGACGCCTGAAGCTCCTCTGTTAGAGCCTGGGACCTTCTCTGCTCATCCTTGAACCTCTTTTGCAGGGACTCAAAGTCCTCCTCCACCTGCATCAGTTCTCCCTCCAACGCCTCCTTGTCCTGTAGTCTCTTTCGCAGCCTATCAAGCTCTTGGGTCAGTTCCTTGACTTTGTTGTCCTCTGTTTGGCACCGATGGTTGGTGTTGTAAGGAACAGAACTGTGTGTGTACTTTTGTTCCTTTTCTTTCCTGTTTTCTAACACCTGCAGCCTACTTCTCATTATGGTCATTTTACTCTGCAGCTCTCTGTTCCTCTCCTCCTCTGCTTTAATTCGGTCCTGGAGCTCTTCTTTTTCCTTTCCCATGTCCCTAATCCTTCCCTCTAACTCTGCCTTACACCCCAGTGCCTGTTGCATCTCCTCTTTCAGTCTTTCTGTCATTGTTGCCAAATTGCTTTGCTCATTCCTGTTGCCTTCCTTCCTGTTCAGTTTTTCCTCAGCCTGTTTGAGCTTCTCTGCCATAGTCTTTCTGTCCTCCACCAAGGCTACAGTCAGTGATCTGAGCTTGGCGAGGTCTTGTCTAATCACTGCTTCACTCTTTTCCTGTTTGCTTTCAACAGCCTCAAGCTCTTTCACCCTAACTTTCAGAGTGTTGAGCTCAGCAGACAGCCTCTTGCTAACCTCCCTCTCTTGCTCCAAGCTGCCCATCAGGATACTGCAGTCCTGTTTGCTCTTCCCTAAAGCCCCCTCTATCCTGTCCAATTCACTGATTCGGCCCGTCAGTTTATCCACCTCCACTTTCAGGCTGCGGCAGTAGCTGGTCTCCCTCCCCAGTCTACGGTCGAGGTCACGACACTGGTCCCACATACGTATCAGCTCCTCGTCCTTTCCCTCCATTTCCACGACCCTCCTCCTCAGCAGCTCGACCTCTGACAGCAGGCTCGGGGCCGTCATGGTGTTCAGGCTGTGGTTGGAAAAAGAAACCGGGTTGTTGAGCTCCACCTCGAGGTGCAGAGACTTGTGCTCTGCCTTCTTTGCACTGGGGTGAGCAGCACTGACCTCCTGCTTGATGTGGTCAGTGATGGCAGTCAGTTCTTTGACACGACAGCGATGTGCCTCCAGCTGCTCGCTCAGACTCTGTTGCTCCCGAACAACCAGAAGTGCAAACGCCTTCAGCTTGTTCAGCTCGTCCTTGAGAGTTGATACTTCGTTTTCACTTTTCTTCTCCTGTAACTTGTGGTATTCTCTCTCTTTTACAAGCAGGAGCTTAAGTCTGTAAGAAAAACAAATTACCCTCATGTTAAAAAGGACTTTTGGGGGTTTTATTATGTAATTTTGCTCTTATTTCTGCTTCCAAGGAAACTTTTTTTCTTGTTTATACTTAACCTCCTGGCCCCACTTTTGAAACCCCAATTAATTCTCTAGTTTTGTGTTTCCAGTATAAGCATTTCTTTCATTTTCAACAGAATCTGAACCACTATTTCCTCCCACCTCAGATCCCTGCAAAAGCTATGAATACTTTATTTTCATTTGCACATTAGTATCGGCGTTTTCATCTCTAATTTGCATGTGTACCACATGTAACCCCTTAAAAATGTAGATGGCCATGCAATTCCATGTTGCGTTGCACTCTCTTTGCAGCACTCCTGACTGTCACAGCAGATGGTCCCTTGGCAGGGAGTGTTTGTTAATTAAGAAGTTCCACTACCCTTGAGTACCCTCAACGCTGCACCCAATCACCCCCCTCCTGTGCACAACGAACACTACCCCATTTCCAGCTTGGAGAGGCAGGAATTCCCCCCTGTTCCGTGTGTAATTACTGACTGGCTACAAAAGTGCTGTCACTCCTAACATTTCCCCAGATGCAAACCAACAATGTACAAATTAATTTAAATATGCACCGTACATTAAGTGTCCTTGCAGAGATCGAAGTGAGCCATCAGCAGCTGATTGTTACAATGAAGAATAAATCTCCTTATAGAAATGTTCGACTAGTTTTGTAGACTTGAGGTACTGAGAGTGCGGACATTAAGGTTGCTCTTTAAATTCAAAGAGCAGAAATAAGTAAATATCAGTTTCACATTCCATGCTTGGATACATCATTTTCCATGTGATCGGGCTGAAAATGTTCCAAGCAGTATACGGAGAGTTGCTTTTGATTATTTGACAAAATCTTATGAGCTGCTAATGTTACGTAAAAAAGTCTGAACCTGTTTTTTGGTAGAGGATGGGAAATTGAAACATACAGAGCATCCTCAACATTTGCTTTTAAGAAAGTTTTTAAAGTGGGTGAAACTCAAAAAGATCTAGCATTTTGAATAAAACAGATGGATGAATTGTAACTTTGAAGGATGTTGAACATCATTAGTTTTTGCATTCTCTAACTGTTCGATTATATTTTGGTTTTGTCAATTCTCTTTCTTTAAAAATGTAAAGAATCACAAAGACGGTAGGTCAGACGTTCAATCAACACATACTTTGCCCGTAATCTTAACATGCCACAAAAACTACTTTAAAAGTAACACACTTCTCCAAATGTGTTTTATATCTTTCCACAGTTCACAAGTTGTTTTTACTTGTCCTACCTGTGCTGTCCTGTTGGCCTCTGTCCTTTAAAAAATCCTCAGAGAATAAAAAGTCTTCACTCTTTCACCTCTCCCTTTCCCGGAGATCCCAGTGATGTGGACATTCCATCCGGAAAACCAAACATTATGAGAAGTGCTCTGCACACCGAGTCTCACTCGCAGTCAGTGGCGCCCATTACATCATCAGCAAGTCCTTATATGGGACTGTACAGGCTCTACCGCTGTGCATGTGTGTGAGTGTGATTGTGTGTTTTTACTGGAGTTCAGCCCATTCCAGATGAGGTCATTGTGTAGCCATGCCAAAGAGGCTAATGGGAAGGACAGAAGAGTGTGTTTGTGTGTATGTGTGTTCAAAGAAAAGCTTCAATCACAATTCAAACTGGAGAGGCTTACACTCTCCGTTTGCAGGATTAGCCGGAGCAAACATGTTAGCTATGCTTCATAAGTGCTGGACTGAACTTTGTATGTTCAAGGAATTGTAGCTTATCTAAAAGCTTGCATATTGTATTATTTGTGTGTGTGAAGTTGGAGTTCCCATATGCTTTAAGACCAGACATGTTTTGTGAGTTGTATCTGCCTTGCCTGGGGCCTGATAACCTGACTGTAAGATGACATCATCAGTTCATCGGCCCTCAATTACACCCATATGTCTTTTGCTCTCTTGCTCCTCCACACATTGCTTCTCTATCTTTCTGATATGTTTTTTGCTTTAAGGTACAAAATGCAATTTGCTTTTGCAACTGCAATTTTTACCTTCCTCTCGCCGTCATCGGTTTTCTTCAGTATCCCTTCGCTCTCTTGAGGTATTACTCAAATCAAATTTCTGTGTTCAGTGGAGCAGGGAAGGATGACAGATTATACTCTCATTATTCTCGCTGCTAGTCTCATCTGTCACAACAAAAGTGACAAAAAAACATAATGGAAAAAGTGAAGGATATGTTTTAGCTGACTCGATGATAGTACTTCCAGTGCAGCAGGAGGAAAAATAACATGTATGTCTATGGGTGACGCACGCTCCCCTCCGGGAACACTTACTTGCATTATGGCTCCAAGTTCTAGCTTTCACTGGGAAAAATACCTCTGGTGGTATTTATTTCTGTCAAGCAGCCCATCTAGTCCCCAATTAAAAGAGAACTATTCCCCCCTTGTCATGATGTCATCACACAAGAATTTACAAAACAGCCAAAAAGACCCACTTAAACTTCACTTTTTGGACATTTATGTTCTACAGAATTGTTTCACCATCTTTTAAACAGAGCAATGAAAGCTTGCACAACAGTGCCAACAACTTTCACCACAGTTAAAGGCAGACCCTCATTAATGCAGCGGAGCTTTTTTTTCGCTGAAAGACGGGATCACGTTCTTAAACCGTTTACGTCAGCGCTGAGGAAACAAGCACACTGTTTTGAAATGTGCAAACAAATGTCTCCATGGTTATTGAAAGTTTCTGTCAGCTGCCGATTCAGCAGCTCTGTTCTAAAACAACACAGAGTAGTTTAAAAGCATGAGTGAATGCTCAGCTAGCAGCCCCTCCTGATATCTTGTCAAAACAAAGTTTCTAGAGGAACCCTTCTTTTAAAAATCTTTATTTTTGTGGTTTGGATTGAATCATCTTTCTTTTTAAGTAAAAGATAACAGCCTTAAAATATCTGATGGAAAACACTGATTGTTTACATTTTGTTTGCTTTGACTCAGGTTACTCTCTCTGCTTGCACTGTGAGCTTGTTTGCTATGGTCACTTGACATTTACCTTAAATAGGTTGTTATTGCTTCTCTTAAACAGTAGTCGATAGTGGAATCTGTGATGATTATTGCCTACTGTGTAGTCTTGTGTTTTTTGGAGCTTATACATGTAAAAACCTTGTTCTGTGTAGTGAGTTAAATGGCAAACTACACCTAATACCCAAAGGCATTTCTGATACTAGTATTGGTATCCAAACAACTGTAGTTTTTGTCTTTTTACCTGAAACCACTGTGACATTGTGCAGCTTAGATATTTAGAGTAATACAAACTCTCCAGGTTACCTTAGTCAGTGAGGTAATGGCTGATTTCTGTGCCCGGTTGGCATTCTCTTTTATCCTTTAATTGATTAATAACAAAGCTGGCTGTCTCTTCCAGAGTTCACTTTGGTTGATGAAATTAACTCTTGACTTGTTTTTGGTTTGTGGTGGCCATCACGCAATGTGCTTTTATTTAAGGATATAATGGACAGAAGGTTATAATGTGTGTTGGTTCACCTTTTGCAGGACGTGTAGTTTGCAGTCGAGGTTACTTTGATGGTACTTATTTTATCCAGAAAAGTTGTCTTAGGCCAGGGGTGGGCAACTGGCGGCCCCCATCAACCCTCAACGTGGCCCTCAGGTTAATTTTTTACACATCAATTAATTGGAAACATGAAGAAAACATGATGAAATCTGCCATGAAATCATGAAAACCAGAAATATGTCCATAATAATATCTGATCACTGGTATATGTTGAGTTAAATTTGAGACATAATTGACTGTAATTGTTTAATTTGGCCCTCTGGCAGTGAGAATTAAATGAATGTGGCCCTTGCTGTCACCAAAGTTGCCCATCCCTGTCTTAGGCTTTATAAAATTAAGCAAAATAGCCTGGAAACTAAGTGTAGCTTGTATTCTGTTTACTGTTCATAAAATGTTACGCTCAAGTAATTGTTATTTGATGAGATAAGAAGTATGTTTTGTTAAAAAATCAGACCGTTAAATCAATTCAAAGAAGTCTTTTGTCAGGAAAGGGCTCAATAAGACAAGATATTGTTCCTGTTGTGGAATGTGAAAGCAAGAATCCTTCTCATTCCCTCAGATTTCAGCCGCAGACCAACTCCCAAACCAGAGTTCATGAGGTCCACTTTTTCTTAGGAGGGGTTGGCATCTGCAGCGCTTGTCCTCAATTACAAGATTGATCCGAGCCCTCATTGGCCATTCTACTCGAAGAAAACCCACAAACATTGCCAGAATGTAATACTCCCCTTCATACGAGAGGAGCTCTCTGCTGTTTTCAGTGCTCCTATTTTCATCCAAGGGTGTAATTTGGAGATATTGAGTTTTTCAGCCTCCGCCTCTGGGAAAAAAAAAAAACCTCCAGTTGTACTGAGAACTGCTGTAAAGGGTCAGAGAAAAGCCATATTGGAGACGCAAAAAAGGAAAGCAGCTGCTCCGGGCTTTGTTCTCTTCATTTATCAACAAGTTTAATAAAATTGAAGGAATGACTAAACTGACCTCATATGCTTGGTGCAGCTAATAAATGAGCCCAGCAGCTTGCGATCATAACAGCGGTTCAGCTCTAAAGTGGTGTACTGCCAGACTCCTATGGTAATTTATGCACATCTCCTCCTGACACATTATTGGCTGAGCCTGCAGATGGTGGATTTCAGTGTGAGAGATGGACCGAGCAGCTGTGGGTTTCCGCTACAGTACGGCCAAATTTACTTTGTCCTTTTCCTTTTGGGAAAATGTTTCTTCCAACATGTTTAATCAAGCAGAGGCTTTTGTTCAGTTATGGTCTTTTGACCAAGTATTATGGTGGGTGCAAATTGTATTGTGTCTGCCTGTTTGTCTGTTGGCCCACATGACTCAATTATTGATTGAGCTCAGTGTGTAGGGACTTGGGTTGGGGACCAAAGAGTGCCAGTTTACTCTCTGAAAGTATTGACGAGGTGTCCTTGAGCAAGGCCCTGGACCCCCACCATCTCAGGAACGCTTGCTGTGGGCAGCCCCCTCACTCTGACATCTCTCCATTACTACATAGCATCCTGTTAGTGCATGTGTGTGTCTATTTCAGCCTATGTGTGTGTGTAGCATATTCAACAACAGAGTGTAAAATTGAATTTCCCCTCGCAGGATTAATAAAGTATATCTTCTTCTATTCAAAACTGATATTTCTCTAATACTTTATATGGCCTAATATACGAAACAGTAGATATTTCCATCAGCCAGCAATGTTAGCATACTTAGCATTGTTAGCATGCTTACCCTCTGAAGTAATCTGATGACCATTGTTAACACTGGCCATAATATTTGTGAAAATGTAAGCGTTGCCCCTGTGAGCTGTTATCCAGCTGGCCAAAGCACTGCTGTGCCTGACAGTGGAGCAAGACTCTTCTTTTCCAAAACATCTGCACTCTTATAGCCCTTATTGATGATATATTGACATGAAGGCCACATCAGTGCAGAGTGAAAACATGACGGAGTTTAAAAGTGGTTTTTGCGGGTGTACGATAGTGTCTGTGAAGGGTTTTGGATTCAGAACTCAAGTGAACAGATGAGAGCGTGGATGTCTTTTGTGTGCCGAACATGTGTGTGCGGTTTCTTCTAAGATGCTGTCAGCCTGGTGACACACCATAGGAAACACACACACACACACGGACTCGGAGCATGTTCTGATAGCATGAGGTTGGAACAACCAGATCGTTGCATTGTGATGTGCAGATGTAATCATCCTTTGACACGCAAAGGGGATCATTCTGTGGCATAAAGTGATTATATGCCGTGACTGGAATTTAGTGTATAGTTTGCAGCTAAAACAGGTCATCTGCTCGGCACATGGCACCTCGTGGAGATACTTTTCCAGGGGAGTGAAAGAAGAAAGAGGGGTGCGGATTTTAAGCCAGGCTGAGTGGCTCTCTTGGCTCAGAGCGTACACTTTGAAAAGAAACGGGGAGGGAGATTGAAAGATAGTTGAAAAGGAGCAGGAGTGGGAATTCTTTCAGTTAAATATTTAGGCTACTGCAGAGCGGGATGTAAGAAGGACAGGATGAAGAGGGAGATGAAAGGGACAGGCGTATCGCCATGTGCAGCGTGTTGTTTACCCCGTGGATAAATGCAAGCAGTGACTCAGCTTAAACCTGTTTGTGCCAAGCTGAAAGAAGCCGAAGCTCACACAAAGAGGCAGGAATATAAACTCGATTCGAGTGTGCCTGAGACGAAATTTAAATAAATACAAGGCAGAAGAGCATTTCTGTGTGGATTGATCGTGAATTTGCATGAAGGAGCAGATTGTTTGTGTCCTTTTACGGGATAGGATTAAAGGTGCAACTGAGATTTTCATTTTGGATCCCAGATGTTTTGAGCATCAGTATTTTCATAAACCAAGGGAAAAGTTAATTTGATAGATAGATTTTTGTATATGACATGGACATCACAATTACACTGGAAGAAGCAGATGCATTGTTTGAGTGTTTCATCACACATGCTAATTCTCAACACTTGACCAAAGGAGGCCTTTGAGAGAAAAGTGAAAGTAATAAATATGAGAATAATAATAGAAAGAAAAATAAACCACATAGGACACAAACACACTGCAAGTCGGAAAACTTTGAAGCCATGGAAGGTTACGTTGTTGCAGTTCATTGTCCTGACAATCGACCTAAGGATTAATCTTGAAATTGTTTCACCTCTTGATCAGAGGCTGGCAAAGGAAGGATTAGACAAATGGAGTTACATTAAGTTATTTTGGTCTGTGATGTATAAAGACGTGTTGATATCCCTGACAGTCAAACTGAACAACAACATCAGACTATCATTATGCTGTCGGCCCCCGGTCTCCTGGTTATCGGAAAAGTTCAAGTGCTGCGTTGTGGACACCCGTTCATGAAGGGAATTAATGAAGGAGGGCAGGCAGGGAGATGAAAATCCTCTGTTCGTGCAGTCAGGAATGTATGAGCCACACAGGGTTCACCCTGCACCACAGACATGCTGTCTACTCGTGTATTAATCATCATTAGGCCAAGATGAACTTCAAAACTTTTATGTGTGCATGTTTGGGGCGGCCATGCTGTATGTGGATCGACTGAATTCTCATAAACATGATCACTACTGGCTTGACTATTTCTGGTCCTTTAATTGTGCGTGTGCCTGTTGTGGATCACCGAAGTGTTTTTCACTTTGGCATGCAGATGCAGACAACTAGTCTCCTCCCAAGGCTGCAAGCCCAGTGCGGGTCCAGTCTCTACACAGCTAGATTACAGAGTGGACTCTGACGGTACATGAGCCGAGACAACCAGGAACTTCAACACAACAGCCTGGTTGTGGGCCTCAAATTGCATACGAGAGCCACCTTCATGTTAGACTTCCCTATCCCAAAAGGCCACATCTAAATGTTCTCTGTACTCAGGAAGCAAATCTTTCTCTTTAGCAGCAAAGCCTCAGCCCATTTACTTAGTTTAGAAGAAGGCTTCATCCTTTGCTGTGTGGTTCTGTTGAATTGGGTAGGAGGGTGCCAATTTAGACCGTACGTGTAATTGCATGTTAGAGCATGTTTATGTGTTTACAAGGGAGAGTGAACAGAGCCAAGCTGGCCACAAGGTCTAACCAAGTCAAGGATGTAATGGACTTTGTCTAAGAGGAGGAACTCTTAAGTACAGTCTTGAGGTCACCGGGTTGGTAGAAAAATGAAGCAGCCAACAGCGGCCTTGCTCTCAGCCATGAAGAGCATTACAGATCAACATAGACTAAAAGTGTCTAAGCCTGCACAAGTGAACATCACAGAGCTCTGATCTGGCTTGTTCCAGTGTGCTGAAATACTTTAATCCCTTAGCCTCTTCTGCACTAGCTGTAAATCCTCATCTCTTACATTAGGAAGGATTCTGAGAGGCATGGATATTTTCTGCAAGTCGAGTTTTAACCCAGACTACCAATTTAGTGGGAGCTGCAAAATATAAATCTTTGCATAGGCATTCATCTGAAGCTCAAGGGTTTGGTTCACCAACCTCTCTCTGTCCTGCTCCAGCAGAGTGGTCAGGCAGTCGCTCTTATGGATTAGAGCCCTGTGGCTCCTCTCTTGCTCCTCTAGCTTGCGTAGAGCCCTGCTGTGAGAGCGAGATACCTCCAGGAACCCCTCCATCATCTGTTTGGACGAGTGCCTCTGAGCCTCCACAAAGTGGTTGAGCTGAAGACAAAAAGGGAAAACAAAAGAGATCGCAATGAGGAGGATGATTGTCGGTGTTACTTGGTTTATGGATAGAGTGCTGACATAGTATGAACATTTGGAAAACAGCTGTTTTAATTGAAAGACCTAATTCCAAGTTTATACATTTGCAGCTGAAAACCAATTTTAACCAAACACTGTGTTTAGTAAGATGAGGGAAAATTACCAAAACATTTGTTCTCATTGGTCGAAATGCCTGAAATTTGGTAAGAACAGACTTTTTTTTGGCAACATATAAAAAGTTCTAGTGTTGGGTACCAAATAAGCATATGAAGATTTCTAGTGTTAAACATTGCTATGGATAGTGACATCATTGATTAGTGGTACATCAGTTTCAACACATTTTTATTCACAGAGTAATAAAGGAGCAGCAATATGAACATGCTGTTAACTTAGCCAAGTTTCAAAATGAGGACAAACCACAATACTAGCTCTGATGGAGGCGGAAAAGGGTTGTAGTTAAAGCAGGGCCCCTCGTCTGAAAGCTGCTCTGACGCTCTCTGCTCAGCACATGACTCTCAAAAATATGTGCCGACAGCACTTTTGAACTGTCCACTTTGATTGATTTTTTTCGGCGGACAGCAGAAAACGCTCCAAGGTGCACTGGAATGTCATAACTGAATATAAGAAAGATATTAACTTTACTTTTTCAAACTGTGTGGTAAATCTACCATTTGTCTTTTTCTGTGGATGATACCAAACAGAAACAGTAACACTTTTTACACCTTGTATGCTGCTTATACTAGAGACTAAAAGGACAAGGATTATACATGTGGTACCTTTAAACTTGTAAAAAATATATTCTAAAATACAGCAAATATCCTACATTTAATCTTTGAGCACGAGGGTCTCCTGTATACTGACAGTACTGTTACGACTTTATCCAACCTAACAAAATGTCTTTGGAAAAAATATATTAAAGAATAGTCCCGTTGGATTGACGAATTCAGCTGCACACCCAAGAAGGTTCATTTCTACTTAATTGTAAAAACATGCTTTTGCCGCCTGTTGGTTTTGAGCCATCCACATGTTGGTTGAGCTTCTGACATTTGAGATAAATCACAGTAATGTGTTTTTAATTGTAACAGTATACTGGTCACATGAGATATTCGAATGACCTTCCTGTAAAAACGTTTTCTTGGAAACGGGTTCTCTTAGAAAGGTAAAACTACAAATCAGACAAAAACAGTCCTTTTAATTTACAGATTTCTAATCTCTGCATAGGAATAGATCCAGCACATGTAACACCTGTAGTGCAAATAACAAATTTGTGCAGTGAAGCAGCGGTAATAGACGCTCTGTTGTGAGACAGTAATGCATTCACCTCATTAAATTTGATTATCCGCTCCATCTGGAGTCTATTTTCTTGCTATTGACTGTTGGTACCTCAGCAATTGGTTTTTTGTACACATCCTGCAGGTGGTCCTGCTGGGCCCGGAGGGAGTCTCTCTGCAGGGCACGGAGCACCTTTTCTGGTCCACCAAAACTGTATCGGGCCCCAAGTAGAACCGGATCCATCTTCTCGGATTTCAACACAGCAATTACCTCATCCCTAGCCTGGAGTGACAAACATATCAGTCAAACACTTGGGGTACCATTTTCCTCCTACCGATACAGATTCTGATACCTAGAATTTAATATTGGTCTAGAGTAGCAATCTGGAACGACCAGAGAAAATAGACATCCATTAATATTTGAAATAGCTGCACATTATTAACCCTGTATGGATGTTAAATAATTGCTATAATTTTTTCATTGCCAAAGTACACAAAAGGAATCCTAAAGCTGAGCACTTAGTACCAGCCATAATAAATATCATCCCTGTTTAGTCTACTGTTTTACAGAATAAGGAACAAGTCAATTCTTTGGGAGCTTATAAATAAAAGTTTTGGATCATGCATCTAGTGACTAGATCCCTGATCCCCCATTTTAGGCTGTATTGGTTCTGATACCGATTTATGTTTAAACAACTCTGCGTACAGTAATAGATACATTGGCATATATTATGTGGTTTTGACATTTGGGTTTCACATGAACATGATTCTGAAAATGACAGGATACAAACAAATCGTCCCACCTGTAGCTCTCCCTCTAACATACTGAGTAGAAACAACAAGTCATCACGGGACAGGACTTCTCTTGTGCGGCTGGCCCGCCACTTCTCTCCTTTGTCTCGCATTATGGTCCTCAATGATCCTCCGTTGTTTTTATTTCAAGGGAGTGGGGTTGAATAGCGTGGAAAGGAGTGTGTAGGTTGTGGTCCTTCACTCCTTGGCTCGAAGAAATCGTTTTGCACTTTCTCCAAGTGGGTGCAGGATGGCTTTAAGTCCACCTGGAAGGAACTGGACAAAGAGAAATTGATTTGTGGTGGCAGCTCAACACGGCGACCAAAAAGTGAATGTGTGCTCCTGAACAACGAGGCTAAATGAGGTCGAACAATTTGTCTTTTCCGTACAAGTGGCTATTGTTTGACTCAAATAAGAGACAGGCTGATGCAGATTATATAAGCCTGTATTGGCTAACCAGAAGTCAGGAGGCCTCTTGTCATAACAGTTAGCATTAGTGAAACGGATCAGCCTGCAGCTGGCATTGCTTTGAGTGAGGCTTATGTCATCTCACAGTCTTTCTCTTAGCACATTTACAGCAATCACTGTCGACTTGGCAAACAGAGGGGACTAAACGTTGCCTGAAAAGTAGGACCATGATTTCTGACCATATGAGCGCAAGATGTGTGTATGTTGCAGGGATATGTGTGAGCTGAAGCAAATCTCATCAGCTAAACAGTTCATGCTAGCCAGCTTCCTCTGACTCGTCCGCCCCTACCCGGCACCCCCCCCCCCCCCATATTCAGAGACAGAAAGCAAGCAGGTTCATATTAGTGAAAGATGAGGTCATCTCTCTGTTCCTCAGCTCTGCCTCTCTGGTTCAAGCACTCACAGTGGCCGGGAACGCCTTTTTATTCCCTTGCTGATGGTCAAGTTTCATTAGATAAGTAACTAAAGGCTCTTGTGTTCCTCATTTTGTGGAAATTGTGAAAAGCAATCAGGCAAACTATTAGCTGTTACGTCTAGAGGTCTCATTTTCACTGCAGTTGTTTTAAGACTGTGATTAAGACCTCCTCAAAGCTTTTACTGCTGTTGTTAGAAATACTGTTACTGAACAGGAAAGCAGTAATACTTTTTCTCTCCACCACCTCATCCTCCTCCTCCTCCTCCTCCTCCTCTGCACACAGACAGGCAGCATCTGCTTGTTGTCACCAAGGCCTCAGAGCAACCTTGAGTGTCTCTAAACAGGATGAACACTGGTACATAAGAGATGAACATTGTGCGAGACAAGCACCAACAGAAGCCCTGTAGCTGGTTCAAAATGTAGCCTATACAGGTTTGTGAGAGCATTTGCTTTCTTTATAGATTGTGTCTGCATAGATAGAAGTGTTTTCTCTTGGCCTCGGTATGGAAAGAAAGGCTGATGATGTCAACCTCCCTCCCTTCCTCTTGATACTCTCTCTGTATCAATCAGGGAGACGGATGAAGCTGTTCCAGCTGTCCCTGCTTTCTTTTACTCTACTTGTTTTCAGCTACAGACACGGGGTTGATAGTTTTCACAAGGTACTAACCAGTAAAACGGTGTATTCAGAAATCGGCGCACTCAAAATGCTATTTACTACAGAGGCTAGAAATGAACCTATTCTCTATTATTCATTTGGTGGGAGAAGAAGAGAGTCAGAGAGAAGATGGTTGAGGTCATGAATAAAAACCAAACCTTCTTGGGAATAAATGGGTTTTTGGCATTGGGTTAGTCAAGATGACGACATGCAATAGACCTTATGAGAGTTAGTGCACGTGTTTTATGTGGTGGCATGGGGCCTGTTTTCTTTGGACACATTTAAGGATGTTTTATTGACACCAATTTCCTTCCCCATGCCATTATATATACTTAATTATTGTCCAATACCCCCCCTCCCCCCAAGCCGGGGAAACACTGACAGGACAGAGGAGCTGAAATGAACATGGACATGATGCGGGAAAGGAGCCACAGTTCGGATTCCAGCCCAGGCTGTTTGCTTCGAGGACTGTAGCCTCTGTATATTGGGCACTCACACTTATCACTCGGCAGCCGGCGCCCCAGGACCACAGCTTTTTGTAACAAATCAGTGCATGTAGGCCTACTGGTCTACTTGCTATTACCATAACTTAATAAAACAATTAGGTGCTTTTTGCTCCTGAGGGGCTCAATTTCAAACGCAGAGACTGGTTAAGGTATTGAACTAAAAAGCCCTCTTAAGCTGCAGTTTATTTTAGCGGGTTGCAAGATGAACACATGCAATGAAGCTGATGTGAGTTGGTGGTCATAGTTTCTGCTGCAGTTTTCTTTGGCGTGAGTGTTTAGCCAACAGAAATGTATTTCCTCTGCCCATCTGATGGCGCCATTAATGTGAGCAGTCGAGCCAAGACATGTACTGTACTTCTGTGTCATTGACTAATAGTGATGAGGTCTGAACACCTCACACACACACACACACACACACACACACAAATACACACAGATGTCATGAGTCAGGTTGTGTTCTTTTTTTAGTGTGGTCATAGTGTCTAGACGAGCACATGCATGCTGATGTCTCAGCACACTCCCATGCGATGCCAGCATGTGAAAATGCCTCTAAACGTGAGTTCTGGCTCGGAGCCAGAGTCAGCTTCAATAATGGTTGCCAGGGTTGCCCCCGTGGGGACCGTCCTCTGGCAGGCAGGCTGGCAGCTGCACATGTGGCTGACTCCCTCTGTTTATTTATCTCAACACAACCCAGGGCAGCCAGCATTCCTGCAGTGCTCAAATTTAAAGGCTGCAGGCTTTCCTGAGAATAAAACCAACAACACTTACTGAACTCTCTTCCCACTAAAATCTGGTCTGCAGATACGCACAGGTGGAATCTTTAACAGTCCAGTTAGGTGTAATAAAGTCACAGACTGGGCCTGGGCTGGGACCATCAAATTATCACACCCATTATAATGGTATTATAAAGTATACTTTGAAATTAGCATAAGCATGTTGATAGGTTTTCAGTGTAGTTAGACCCTGGGACCCATTGGTGGGGTTTTTTAGTGGGTCCCTTGAAAAAAAGTCCCCAATAAAAATGTTGTTTTTCAGAAATTAAAATGTTAAACTTGTGTGTGATGTTGGTATGTTATCATATGGATATGATTTACGGATATATTCACATATTCTCAAAATGTATCTGATATTAAAGAAAATACATTTCATAATTCAAATCAATCTTATTTCTGTAGCAACATGAAAAGCACCAAAATAAATGATCAAAGAAATAGAAGTGAGTGAAACACTGACGAAAATGTTTTTTCTTTTTCTTCAGCTTCATTTTTAAAACATTTTCTTTTAACTGCGTACTACTTGGTAATAAAAACAAGATCTCGCTGGTGACGGGATATGTGTAGATGTTGTCTGAGCATAAGAAGATGGGGTAAATTTTGAGTGGGCAGTTCCTACATTTTATTTCCCTCTTTGTCAGTTTTGGTAGTATACCTTCTCTGTTGCACTGGATCGATAATGATACAGTTGCGCCACAGTTGAAAGCGGGTAGTGATAAATTTACAAAGTGCTGTCCTCAGAAAACAGCAGTCTTCATGAAATCTGCACCCTTTTGAATTTCAGTGCACAGAGACACAAGACGTGTACCTCACACGTTATTAGAACTTAATATTTTTACCAACCCATTATTAACTTTACATTTCAACCAAGAACTTGATCATCTGTGCATCATTAAATCCTCGTCTCAGAGGAAGAACACAACCAAAAATGTGTTTTTTTTTTGACTGGGACAAAAAGGAGCTACATATTCCACTTATTGGTCAGTCAGATATGAATAATGCAAACAGTTAGTCCTCCCTGGAAAAGTTACAGTATAGAAAGCAAAACTGCAGAAACATTAAAAAGAAAAATGAAGAAAAATAATCCAGAAAGGACCTAAACATCGCAGCCTTAAAGCAGAATTACTTTCCCAAGAGGAACGGTAGAGGCACAGTATATTCACCCCTTCCCCCCCAAAGAGCAAATAACCTTGCCTGTGGCCCCCAGGAAATTTCAATTTGAGACCCCTGCTCTCTAGCTTTTTCATTCCCCATGAGCAGCTCATATCCACCTTCTATCCACCTGTCAGTGGGGGAGGCTGGCTCAGTCTGTGCCCTGGAGTCCTCTTTGGCCTCCAGTTTGGCTGATATATGTTTTGGCCTGAGCGCAGTACTGCAGGCATGGCGGGTCACAGTGATCTTAACTGAAAAATAATACACCAGTCATGGAGAGAGGAGGAGATGTTGAACAGCCACTGAATGTATTTCACCAGAAATGCTCGGCGCTTGGCTTGTTGGTCTTTATGATTATGAGTGTGGTTAGGCTGCACGTACTGCTAAATGCTTCATACTAATGACTTCAACATAAACCTCCCTTACTGCCACTGTTCTAATGACTCTCTGTAATGACTCTGGGCTCGGTTTAAAGTGTTAGACTCTTGAATTTTCATGGCCAGGGACTTTACCATTATAGTTTAGAGTAGATTGTCAGCTTGGCTCATTTTTTACTCGAGTATTGTTAGTGTCTCATCTCTCATTTTGTTTATGATGAACATATTTGTTTTAATGAGTCATTACTTCTGTAGATTAGCTGAAAATTATGTTTGTTATGACATTTGATGTCCCATAACTCTTGTTTAATGATTTTCCCTTCGTATTCATGCACATTGATCAATGAAACAGGAGAAAGGTGGGAACTACAGAATGTGCTCTGACATTGGGCGTCGAGAGCTTAAGATGTGCAGTATGGAGGCAATAGTCTTCAGCGCTGTGGGTTCAAATCCGTCCTCGGCCCTTTGCGGCATGTTGTCCCCCGTTCTTTTCCTCCCAACGGTTCCTGCTTCTCTTCAGCTGAAGGCCCAAAAATATCTTGCACTAAAATAATGTAACTCTTTTCAACCATGTATGCCTTACATATTGCAAGACGGATTTATAAACCTAGTTCTTCTCAGCCTGAAACATTACTCTCTTTGTGTTATAGGTGTGTGTGTTTTTTTATAATGCATAGCAGAAGGTATTGGAGTATATGGCTCCTTTTCAGCTTCTCTTGGCATTAAAACTTTGTACGTGCCAGATTTGGCTGTGATTCTGCCTCTTAAAGTTACTCAAGGTTGTCAAGACCACAGAAAGTGAGATGTGTGCGATGAAGGAGTACGCACATTATCACTTTTGTGTCATTTTAGTTAAATACTAACAGTTGTAAGCTGCTTTATACCTGACAGT